GATATATCCTACCACAGATCCTAAAGACGTCACCACATTGCCTCCAATTGGTAAACAAGAAAATAAAGAAAAAAACACTCATAAACAGATATATCCTACCACAGATCCTAAAGACGTCACCACATTGCCTCCNCTCCAATTGGTAAACAAGAAAATAAAGAAAAAAACACTCATAAACAGATATATCCTACCACAGATCCTAAAGACGTCACCACATTGCCTCCTTATTACTTTACAATGACAGCTCCTAAAAAGGAAGGTAAATTTCACCCTCACACCACGAGTAGGATGAGTCACAGACAAGGGAACGAACCAGCAACAACCGCAAAGCATTTTGGTAGGTTAAAGCAAAAGGAACGAAAGAAGCCGCGTCCAATTACTCAACATTTGTCGACTAAGCCAACTTTGAAGTCATCAGAAAATTCAGTCCCAACGAATCATAACTTCTCGCCGTCGATTAGTAAAATAAGTGAGCAACAAGAAGAGACAGAGGTATTGGAACCTTTACATTTTACAAGCACTACCACTGGGAAACAAACGTATCTAGGTCTTGATAATTCCAGCGAAGGAGTTACATTGCCAACTAGAAAGACCTCCCTGGCAGTATTACCCTATTTGAATCCTACCAAAGAGAAGGATGAGCATACTGATAAACCTGTGGCACATGAAGACATGTCTACACGAAAACCCAACAGATATAGTTATTATTCTCCAAGCTTTCATATGCCATCATCAAAGGTCAAGAAACCGCACCGAAAGCCAGGTCCTGCTAAACCAACAACAAAACCAACAAAAATGATAATACAAGCACCCTCCAAGAATCAACCACTTAATGAATTCACCACAATAAAAACAGCTCATTATCATCACTTTGATCCAAGTTCCACCAAAGCAACAAAACCGACCAAAATGATAATACAAGCACTCCCCACGAAACATACAACACCAAGTGGCGATGAACCAAACGGCGTTACTATAATGATGCCAACTATGTCATCTTCAAGTGGACCAACTGATAACCTCATAAAGATCCCTCAAAATTATTGCGTAGCCGGGCCAGTACTATATAATCATACTCTCAATGGTGGATTGGAATCTGGGCTTTTTCATGAACTCGATGACGTCAACACCATGGATTCATGTATCAAGAGGTGCTGCCAGAATAAAATTTGTGACGTAGCTTTCATGGTGCTGGATCACTGTTTTCTTGTTACGTGTTCAAAAACAGATCCTGATCAATGTGAAACTGTTCCGGCACTGGCCACAGGGTTTGATCCAAAAGTCTCTAAAATTTCAAGAGTAACACCTTTGCAGGAGACAACAGCATCACCAGTAGGTAGTTCGCCAAATCCGAATACTCAGATGCCAACGGCACCACCAACGGCACCACCAACCTTATTCACTACAACTAATATGGTCAAACCGTTAGTGACAACTAGTAAAGAACCTGCCTATTTACCTCCGAAGACCACTCCAAAACCTCATACATGGAGACCAACAACTCACCGAGCAATAAAGACTCCTGGTTTATTGCAGGGCTGCAGAAAAGAAGCAATACAATACAACGTTACTTTGAGAGGAGGTTTACACGCTGGAAAGTTCCAACTCTTTGGCAGACTAAAAAGCCCTCAACTTTGCGCTAAGCATTGTTGTAAGTCAAGTACTTGTGACTTGGCTTACTATATCTTCGGACAATGTTACCTTGTGCACTGCTTTGATGACTATCTTTGCCAGACAACACAAGCAATGCTGCCTGGGTTCAGTCCATCTGTTATCCGTGTCAAGCATGTTAAAAGACCAAAAGCGCCAAAGCCATGGAATCTCATAAGCAGTGTTTTCAATTCGATTGAGCCAGAATTGCCAACTTCAAAACCAAAGCCAAATAAGACTTGCGCACATTCTAATGTGTATAATGAGGTAACCCTTCGTATGGGATACCACTCAGGTAATTTTACTGCACATGGAAAGCTTAACTCATCGGACGAATGCCTCAAGCTCTGCTGCAATGAAAGGCACTGTGACCTGGTATTTATGTTCTTGGGCAATTGCTTTACCGTGAAATGCAAGAGCAGCTTTGCCTGCGAGATCGTACCAGCAAGGGAATCCCAGTATCAACCCAAAATTGCTTACATACTCCATGGGACAGCTAAAGCACCTGAGTCACCTTTTAGTTTGAGCCTGCCTAATTCAAAGGGAGAAAAACCCGTTAATGTCGTGCATTTTACAGAGCTTCCTCAAGTTTCCAGATTGAAGCAGAGACCGGGTTCAAAGAAGAACATGGCAATGAAACACACATCTCTAAAAAAGAAAGCTAGGAAGACAAGACACAGTAGGAAGCACTTAAAGGTACACCATAGAAATAATAAACCAAAACAAGTTCATTCATCGTTAAAGAACCACAAGAAAAAGACAAGGAAAAAACAAGATCTAAACTCTAACTCACCGTCCTTTTTAAGAGCAAATTATAAAAAGCAAAAACACAAGAAAAGCACTAAAACATTTAAGAAAAAGACAAAGAAAAAACCGAAAAGATACAAAGGAAGCCACCACTTGAAAACTTCAATGAAGAAGGTTATTAAACATAAATTAAAGTACAGTTCAAAATCCTTCCTAAGAGCAAATAAGAAGAAGGAAAAACTTAGAAAACAAAGCCACTTGCAAACTCCGATGGAGAAAGTTCTGAAAGGTTTGTCGCTAGTCATGAAAGAAAATCAAAAACTTGAGAAAGAAGTTTCGAAGTTACTGCACAAAAAGAAGACGAAGCAAAGAAAAAAGGTTAAGACCACGAGTGGCAACGTTATGAATTCAACAAATAAAACAGATAAAAATCACATGTTGAAGATTAGTATAAAGAACGTCACCCTCAAAGCTGATAATGAGCGACTCAAAAATGTGTCCTACAAGAATCCGGTTGTAAATGTTCCAACCAGTTCTTCAAGTACCACTCGTTCTGTAGCCTCCATAAAACCATCGAAGAAAATTGATGGCTCAATACGCTCTCCTACGCAGAATCAACAATTCTATCCCCAAGGTCACCAAGTTCTTGATAATTTTACTGCATCTGTAGACAACAATTCCAGGCCTCTAAATTATAGTAAAAGCAATGCAGGTGATGTTCGTGATAAACAATTCGCCTCTCCATCACATATGATGACACCGGACCAACAAAAGCCTAACCTAAATGATTCCAAGCCTTTAGCTTATCCATCAAATGAATCTGTAAGTTTGAAATATGATAAAAGCAAGGCAGACATTATGAATAGTGAAGAGGGATCCTTTACAACACATATGAAGGCACCAGAGCAACAAAACTCCAACCTAAAATATTTCAAACCTTCGATGTATCCTTCAAAAGAATATGCAAATTTGAAGTATGACAAGACCACGGTCGATAGTGTCAATAGTCAGGAGAAATCCTTTGCAACACAACTCACGACACCAGATCAAGAAGTTACGGAATTTCTACCGGGAGAAGACGGACCAATGCCAAAACACAAGTTAATCCATCATAATAAGAAAGAGACAGTGTTCTCTTTTTTACACCCTCGAACGGATACGTTTCTCTCCAAGCAACGTTTGCCTAACTCTGAAAGAAAACAAGGGGAATCATACGGCAAACGCGGTCACATTAACCATCGAAGAGAAAGAAAATTCAAGGGTCATTTTAAGACGATACTAAGTAACCATGAAGGGCGGTACTCAGAACCAGAGTTGCCTGATGATGATGAGGAGAAGGATTTTGAGGATAATTTGGAAGATCCAAGCACTGATGGAGACGATAATTCTGTAATCACAAATTCCGAAAGGGGGAGCATCCAATCAGAGGATTCCGAATTAGAAAATAATGATTCTGAACGAAAGATCTACCGACCAAACGAAGACAGTACAGAAAGATTAGAGCATCGTGTCGTCCGTCCGTCTGAGGAACAATCAAGAAGAAGGCACCATCGTATACACAGGCATCGACATGTAATAGAAATCCCGAAAAGTCCATATGATTATGAAGATATAGATGCGGACAAGAAGGATGAAGACGTTAATGGCTTAAAGAATGATGTCAGACCTACGAAGTCACATCATCGAAAGCACATATATCGCAAAGCTCAGAAAGATCATCACGCAAGGCATTATGGTCCTGCATATGCAGATTCTAATGATTTTGATAATTTCGAAGACTTGGAAAGTTCAGACCTCCATCACAGAAGACCTAAATATTCAAGGCACAAACATAGAAAGCAGGAAAGTGGATTGCACCAAAGAAAGGACGACGATCTACCAACATCAGGCTTTGATGTCGACTATGATTCCAATGGTGATTTTGATAGTGAGCCAACATCCACTTATTCTATTCATCATCATCGGCACCATCGTAGGCCTACAGCTTCAGACCTGGAAGACAAAGATGTTAGCCCCACCGCAATGAGTCCAACAACACATTCTGTGATGCACCATAGAATAATCCATCCGCCCGGTTCCTCACGCCGGCACCACCATAAGGCTCCAACATCTTCAGA